CTACTAGGTTGAAGGCCATCGCTACTAGGTTGGAGGCCATCGCTACTGGTAGTAGGTTGGAGGCCATCGCGACTAAATGGGAGGCCATCGCTGTTAGAGAGTTTAGAGTTTCCGCAAGTGAGTGATGGGCAGCAAAAGCACAACAAAACCTGCAAGTTGCGCTAGGCCGCCCGCCTCACTGAGAAGCGACATCAGCTCTTTTGATGCTTCCGGGTGCTCTTTCAGCCAGCGTTCCCCAGCATCTGTCCTTCCAGTAAAGGGCATGTGACATCTTCTGTCTTTTCTTCGCACGGCTCACGAATCCATTGAAATCCCCTGCTCGTCGCACCAATCCGCCACTTTGTCTTGGTGTTTCCATATCAGGCGCAAACAGAGCAGCTGTTCTGCTCACATGGCCAGACTTTTTCCGGTCGAGGCTGTCTCAGGCTCTTGAGGCTCCTGTAATTAGGATCGAGTTCGGGCGCTACAAAACGGCTCGTCGGGGGAAGCGCTCTTCCTATATTCATTGAGATGTTCTCATCGAAATGGCTCCAGAAGCGCAGGTCTTCGTTCATTACACTAATCAAAATATACATTTTGAAACTGTGTCACTACTGATCTGTGTGCTCTCGTGGTTTTGAAGAAACAACATGAAACACACTCTTATTCTAATTAATAGCTTCTTGTTACTACTAGTAAGGCACTTGTTACTACTAGCGAGGCACTTGTAATTACTAGCAAAGGAATCTTTTCGGTTTTAGGTCCTCCTCCAAGATGTCAATCGGCCTGGACTGGCGGGTTGAAGCCGTCGGCAAGCGGCCCAGCTGGGATCCAGGACGTGGCGGAAACTCTCTGGAGACGACGTAGGAGCTCCCTGGTCGGGAGTATTCCTGTGGGAGGCACAAACGGATTCAGCGTCCCACATGAGTGGACTTGGCTTAGTATTAAGTCTTAATGTCTTAATTCTTGGCAGCTTTGATTAATATGGCATATGGTATCATATGGTACTTCCTCCTTGAATTGCTCCCACCTATTGACCATTCTAAACGAAGGCGCGAACGAATCCGTCAATCTGTCAAGGCTCGGTGACTACCCCGCGCCGCGTCGGCCCTTCAAGAGCTTCCCTCTCAAGCTGCATTTCCAATGACGAGCTGGCCTTTCCTGACAATGCCGGGCTCAACCGAATCAGAAGCCAGGCTCAACAAAAGCTCCCACAGCAGCCACCAATAAAACTGTTAACCACACATCTCCGAAAGCAGGAGCAGCACAAAATGACGTCGGTTTCCCCCAAGAATCTAAGCACACCTTTCTCGACAAGCTGGAGTTTGCTTTGTCTCTCACAGTTTCTTGCAGCAAATAGAGGCCACACTGCCTCTGACACTGATGCATAATCGCAAGGCGTAATGCCTGGCGATAGCACATGATGAATCAGGCACCAAAACAGCTACGATGCTACAAAGGCATTTCACAGCCCAATGATTCACAAACCTATCAGTGCCGTCAAAAATGAATCGCATCTTCTGCCTTCAAGGTCTTTCTCCAAGGGATCGGCGCGTCGTTCCAGCAGCAGCAAACATGCCTTTCCCTCCTCCTGCAGCGCAGCTGCGTGAAGCGGCGTCCATCGTGGGCCATTCTCATTCCGCAAGGCAGGTGAAGCCATTGAGTCCAGAAGAAGCTTCAAAATATTTACCTGAAAGTGTGGAAGCGTGCAAAATCATGCAATGAACAAAAATGCCCTTAAGACTTCAAGGATCTTCAAGGCCAGGTCACATGACCCCACATTGCAGCAGCACAAAGTGGGGAGGTTCCATCTAAGCCCACTTCATTCACCGCTCCAGGATCAGCTTCGATCACCCGTCGCACGCCCTTCTCGTCACCGGAGGCAGCGAAGCTGGTCAGCATCAGCGCTAGAGTGTCATTGGCCTCCGGCTGAACTGACCAGCCCAGGCCGTCCATGAAACGTGGGCCCGGAATTGAGCCGAAGCTGACAGAAACAGGTTAAAACATGTTCAAACCACTGGAATGCAAAGGTATAAAGCGGCATAAAGGTATGCATGTGTGGCTAACCACAACAGTGTCTGGCCTTCCACTCCACAAAAGGTTATGTACATCAGTTTACATTTCACGTTTGCAAGCTCGAGTGTCCTCTTCTTAGACGAGCCTCCGACCTGGTGTAGCCCGTGGCATTCCCTTCTATGATCAACAAACAGCCACATGAAATCAAAGTAAAAGAAACGAAATCAAACCACCACGGAAGGAAAATCCTCTAGGGCTCCGAGCCATATAGAAGAAAAGGGTCCAAGGAGCAGCACTGAAGCCGATCAAAGGCACATCTCCCATCCCTTCCTGAGACCTTGTGGACCGCAACGGGCTGAATCTCTGTGTGACTTGTTGTGGCCAAGTAGGGCTACGGCGGCTAAGTGCTCCACATGGTCTGCAGGATGAGCCGTACAGCTTCTAGCACATGTGCCTGCATTCATGGACATCCAGCAAGTTAGATCATATGATATAATATAATGATGGGAGATGAATGCAGCATCATGCTCTTCTTTGCTCCAATCAACCAAACCCAAAGCAAGCGAAACCAGCTTCAGCTGCCAACAAAACATGCTTCGGGCTGACCAAGCGTTGCTCCACAAAGTCTGCGCTGGCGCTGGAGACTCGCAACCGAGCCATGTCTTCGGGTGACTCCAAGGGCCGCGGCACCAGAATGCCTCCCAGGCAAAACCGTGGGTCAACTCTCGGTCCGCCCTGGTCGTGGTAGCCGTTGTGAGTCCCGCATCCTTACGGACCTACGGGTTGAATCCGCTTGGTGTGAAAAAGGGAGGACACATTTTTTTTTGAGTTTCTTGTTGCACCTGATGCTGCATTGAGATTCTTCAACCACCTGCTTTTTCTGCCGCGTCTGGCCTTTTCCTCCAGGCATTTCCTGAGACGTTGGACTCTTCGCTGTGACCACAAAAAAACGTTTGCGTCGATCGCGTCACAAGGTTGCGCATTGAGGCCAGGATCCACATCAATGCCCAAAGCTTCCGCCACCACCAGGATATCCGAGAACAGAATCGCCGCATCCACCCCGTAGCGCCGCAGCGGCTGCATGGTGACTTCCTCAAAGAAGGCTGCGCCCAAGTTGGTTCGCAACACTCTTCAGATCTCTTGAGTAATCCTTTTGATTGGCAAGCTGCTCAGCAAACGCAACACCACTGCCAAGATGTTGGAATATGTTGGACGTGTTCACTATTCAATCATCCTGAGGCCATTGCAGCAACATCCTTCGGATCTTGCAGAAGTTCTAAAAAGTTCTTGTTGCCTCAGCCAAATTGCTTGCCTTTGCAACGTTAGCATGTCTAACAACAGCTCTAAAGTGAAACGTCACCGTTTGCACTTCGATTACCTTCCCCAAAAAATGAACCTTTCGGACTGTCCCAGTCACATCACACCATCTGCACCTCTGTAAACTAATGCTTTTCCGAGCTCATCTTCTCTACTTCAAGGAAGCTCAGAGCATGCCCTTGTCTCAGACAACGCAGCTCAAAAGGCCAAGCGACGTTTGGTCTTGTACTCATTGTACTCCGGGAGGTGTCGCCCCGCTTGGCGAAACAGCCAAACGGGCACCTGTAGGTGCAAAGGAACCAAAACCATCATTAGGTTGCCCCATGTCCAGCGCCTGAGGCTCCCTGACAGGTTCCAATCCCCGGGCCACCTGTCGAGCATCGAAGAAAGTCGATTGCATAGGTTGGAGGCCATCGCTACTAACAAGAAGCTACTCATAGTCTGCAGGTCTGAGGGCCTGAGGGTAGAGCTTGGAAGAATCTCATGAACAAAGAGAGCAATTAGCAACCCATCTTAAACAGGAATGCTACAGTGCAAACCCATGTGATTACCCTGCAAATATATGATTACACGATATTCCACGTGATGCTTTCTTCAGTGCCTCCGGCTCCCTTAAAAAAAAAAAAAACACACACACACACACCATCATCACCAACAGTCACTGCAAAACTGTCAATGCCCATCATCGCTAGTTGCATATATGGTCTTCCCTTTTGTATGATATTGTCTAGTTTATGGCAGGTAAACAACACAATCGATAGCAGCGTGGTTGTAAACCGCTGGTGGGCAACCTCTTAGGATTTGACTGTGCGGTTCAAAGCACCGTTGGGCTCAAAAAATCTCAAAATAAGCCCAAATGATGCCCAAATGTAATGACACACATATTTTCACCTCATCGCTTCCAGCATCAATTGATGGCAAGCATTGCCAAAACAAAAAAACGTCACCTTTTCATCGTTCCTCGACATCTACATATGAAGCAAACACATCCAACTGCCCAAATGGTCATAGAATCTATTAGTAATGCCTTGTCCTCAAACCCATAACAAACCGTAAACAGCTCTAAGTTTCTTTAAGCTGAACCGCCATCCTTATCATACTTTCTTCTACACTGAAGTGAAGCTGATCCTTTCCACCACGAAAGTAAACCGAGAGGGATGTTCTCCCACCTGACAAAGAGAAGAGGTGCTGGCGTCTGCCTGCAGTGTTTGCCTTGCGGGATGGTGTGTTGGTTGCCAAACATTGGGTGGCCCAAATTCAGTAGTTCCAATCTGATTCGATTACTATGTCAACTCAACTTGTTTAATCAACGCATGCAAAACAATTGTTCAAATTGGCACAATCAACAGTTTAGCGATAACCTTGGTGCTTAACCTCCCGCGTGCTCGCCGCACACGCTTCGGCACTGCTCCTGAAGAGTCAGAGTGCGTTCTGCGTTGTGGCACTTCTTTGAGTTCCTTTGCTAATCACAATGTACACATCAGGACTTACATCATGTACATCATGTCACCGTGTCTTGTCTTCTCTCAAGTGTTTCCTGTCTATACGAGTACAAACATCTCTGGAATCATCGAATCACAGTGGTCCTAGCACCATAGCCGCAGCAATCACACGTCGTGGGAGAGCGCATTGTGCCACAGTCCGCGGCGTAGCTGAAGGTTGGGACCGGCCTCAATCGACAACGAGCCGTCCTGAGGTCATGTCCGTTGCTTCATCGCTCATAGAGAGCCATGCAAAAGTCTAACCATCAAGCTGTGGATCGAACAAATCTAGAGCATATTACTTGCCATGGTTTCGCACGATTCACACAAACAAACCAAAGAGTGGCATGGCGGCCATTTTCGAGCCCACGTCGTGCACACGTTCAAGGTCAAAACCGCCGCTTCAGACGCACATGGCGGGAGTTTGGAGCTGCGGGAACTAAAAATGAAGCTGCAAGCTGTGCAAACTGCAAACTGCTGTGCAGTGCTCGGATCTGCTTGGCCAGGTGGAGTGTGTGATCTTGTTCCAGGAAGAGAGCACAGCTTGCTGCTGAATGCTAGTACCAAACCCCTTCACAAAGCGCGTCGTTCTTTTCCGAGGTGCCTCGAGAAAACATGTAGTTGGACCCATTGAGAACAATAACATGTCTTAAAGGATCTTAAAGGCTTTCAGCCTGGAATGCCCTTTTGAAGATTCTGAAGGCGGTTTGAAACTCTTTTGACAAGCATTGAAGTTATGCCATTGCATTGCACCTACTTGTCTGGGCAAGTTGCTATGCTCGCAATTGACCAAGGTCCCTTCTTCCTTGTCAATGCATAAGTAGTCGCCTTAGCATCGCAAAAGAAGCGACCTGCCACCACAGCTGGAACACAATTGCTTCGAGAGACTTGCGAAATGCGACGTTTTGTGGCGTTCATATGGGGGTTGTTCAAAAGTCCTTTCATTTTTTCCAGGCCTTTCGCAGGACCTTCGCGAAGCTTTCGCAAGCTTTCGCGCGTGGGGTTTTACCACTGTCGGCGAAAATGGTTTTTCGTTGGGGCTAGAGGCTTTCAAGGATTCATGCAGTTGCCCTGGCACGTCTTGTGTCCTCTGATCACTGACACATTGATTGCTGAGGAACAGGAAGCCAGCCAACCAAGCAACCAAGACATTTTCATGTTGGTGTGTTTTTGGTTGGGCGCAACCCTCCATGAACAAGAGACGGCTCAGTCAGGCCAGTTTGCTCAGACTTCCAATTTGCTTTTTCCCGGCCCGGGAAAAAGCAAAATGGTTCAGACTTCGAATTTGCTTTTTCTCCAACCCGGGAAAAAGCAAAATGGTTCAGACTTCCAATTTGCATTTTCCCGGGCAGGCAAAAAGCAAAATGTATCAGCCTTCCAATTGGGGCCTGGAAACAAGCAGCGCTTGTGAGGCTCGAGCCCACGACCTTCTACTTATGAGCCTGGCGCTTTATCCATTAGGCCACCGCAATCTGAAAAAATTGCTTTTTTCAGGCTTTGCAAAAGCAAACTGGATGTCCAATTTGCTTTTCCGGCTCAAACTTCCAATTTGCTTTTTTCCCGGGCCTGGAAAAAGCAAAAGGCTCAGACTTCCAATCTTCCAATTTGCTTTTTCCCGGCCGTGAAAAAGCAAATTGGAAGTCTG